TGGATCCAACTAACCTTTCGGGCTGAGGTGTTCTAGCGAGTTGTTCCTTTCCTCTTCCAAAGCCCCTTTTCCCTTCGGGGAGTGGTGCCCTCCCCCTCCCCACCCTGAAACGGATTTGGGAAAGAGACGGAGTGCTTAGACCGCCCAAGACGGCTCCAAGAGAGCGCCCGATGCTCCAACAATTCTTTCCACGCGCAGGAGGCGGCGCCCAAAGAAAAAACCAGTCTTGCGTAGCAGTTCCGCGAAGCGGAGCTGAAGGAAACAACCTGTCTTGAGCAACATGTCCTCGGCGCGCCAGCACGCGAAGAAACTGTCACGCAATTCGGCCCGCAAATGCGAACGAACGCGTCCAATGTTCCAACATGGCCTCCAAGATGGCTCAAGATAGCCGACGATGGCTCAATATATGCAGCTTCAGACATGCGTCCAAGACCAGAATGGGCCCAAGAGCGGCCCCAAAACGCCCCGAGAGGGCCCCAGAGGGCGATGCTAGCTAGCTTCTGGAAGGGGGGGGGCGACAATCCCCCCTTCCCTCCTTTGACCGACGCCCTACAAGATGGCCCCAAGAAGCTCTACAGGGCTCCCAAAAGGGCCCCAACATGGCCCCAAGGGGCCCCAAGACGGCCCCCAAATCGCCCAAGAGCTGCCCAAAAGCGTCCCAAGGGGGCCCGAAGAGGCAAGTTTGATGGCTTCGGGTGGGGGGAGGAGGCGAAAATCGCCCCCCTCGCCCCCCTCCTCCCGTAAGGTCAAAATTTGGTTATATGTAGCGATGTGTTGTTTTCGGTCGTTCCCTTTCATATCTTTTGCTCTTCTTGCAAATGTGTATTATTCTTCTTGCGACAGCGTTGAGTGGTGAGGATTCCTTCAGTGGCGGATTACAGTTGAATCCCTTGTGTGGTGGATTACAGAAGGATTACTTTTGCGGCGGATGACACATTGATTTTTCTTTGTGGTGGATTACAACTTGATTCCTTCTGTGGTGGATCGCAAGTGAATTCTATTTGTGGCGGAATACAAAAGGATCCCATTAGCGGCGGATTACAATCGGCTTCCCTTTGTGCCGGGCTACAAATTGATTCCTTTTTTTGTGGGAGGCCTACCTGGTAGCAACCCAGGGTCCCAAATAACAAAAACCTTGAAATCATTGAAAATCATGAAACGTATTTTGAAGGTTTGGGACCCCCCACATATATATATATATATATATAGATATATAGATAGAAGCACAGCATTTCCAACCCCTTGGGAGCTTAAGCCATATAATAGCATCGCATTGTCTTACGCCTGTCCTCCCAAATGGTGCGTTTTCTGTATGGTTTGGGCTCCCAGGGGGTGGGCAAAACTGTGTTTTATATTTTTGGGCCCCAAACCTTCAAAATTATTGAGAGTCGTTTAATTCTCACCATTTTCAATGATTTCGCATTTGTTGGGGAGACCCTGGGTTACAGGTGGGCTTCCCACAAAAAAGAATCAACGTGTAATCCTCCACACAAGAAATCCCGTTGTATTCCGCCACAAAGAATCCATCTGAAAGCCACTACAAAAGGAATTCCTTTTGAAAACTGCTACAACAGGAATCCAGGAATACGGGGCCAAAAGGAAGCCAATAGGGATGTGAAAGAAAGCCAAAAGCGCGACCACAGGGAACCAGGAGGGAGCCAACCTAGAGCCGCGACAGGGCTAAACGGAAGACAAGAGGGAGCCAACAGAGGGCCAAGAGGGAGCCAAAAGGGAGCCAAGAGAAGATTACCAAGGTTTCGAATAAAGGGGGATTGCTAACGCTTGCCGCTGGCCACGAGGGCTTCTTGAGGCTCTGAAAATCGTTACTGCACCTGTAGGTTGCAATACAACGTTTAGCATGTTTCGAGGGTGTGCGTTTCTTTAAAAATGAGGGGGGGGTATGTTTGGGGTGTATCACGGGTGCCTTGCGGGTGCCTTGGCAGTGCAGTCCATGGGCCGCTTGAACAAAGCGATGCTTCCGTAGCCGCACATGTCAATAGCACGCGTGGCATCTTCGAGAAGATACTGGTCCTTGCAATTCGTTGTGGGCGATTTGCGGGTGCCTTTTGGGTGCCTTACGGGTGCTTTGCGGGTGCCTTGGCATAAGATCCTTGGGTTGCTTGGGGCAGAGCGTTGTTTACGTAGTCGCACACTTCAATCGCACAGGCAATACGTTTCGAGAGAACTATTTGTTTCCTGGCGTTTGGGGTGGGCGATTTGCGGGTGCCTCTTGGGTGCCTTTTCGGGTGCCTTGGAGGTGCATTTCGGGTCATCTCTGGCGTGCTCCTACACTGGGGTCCCTGATTCGCCTGGCGCAAGCAACACGTTTTAGCATGTGTGCATTTCATAAGCACATTCACAATGTGCTGAAGAGTCTTTTTTTTGTGGATGTTGCAGGGGCCGTTTGCGGGTGTCCTTCCGGTTCCGTTACAGACTTCCTTGGGTGCCTTCGAAGTGAGGTTCTTGCATTGCTTGGCACAAGTTATCGGTCTTGCGTTTTACATTTCAGTTGTACAATCGTAAAGGCCTGCTTGGGCTTTTGGAAGGCCTCGCGAGGCCACGGTTGGATCCGTGTTCTCTTTCAGCGTACGTAGACGCATTGCTAAACTTCGCCTCGGGGGATTTGGCTGATTTCGTTATTTCCAGCGTAGTGATGGTCGCGCGGGGTCTTCCAAACTGGCGGCCGCAATCGCTGCTACGAGGCCGTCAGATGCGAGGCGGTTGTACGATCGCATCCAAAACAGCAACAGATACGTGGAGAAGCCGTACGACCTCATGTCCGACTTCGTTCAGGACTTGGCAGCGATTTGCGCAACGCACCCCAACATGATGCAACGGTGCTTAGCAATTGGGAACACGCGACGGCGGCGTAGGAGCTGGGATACATTCAGAACCTTTGCAAGTACGTCGCCAACAACAAACTATGGTGTGATATGTGGAACGGCTCGTAGCGAAGCGTTCCACTAGCAGCTGAAGGCCTTTTACAGAAACGTCATGTGGCAAATTCTACGACATGCTCTGTGCATTGCCACGGCCGTGAAGTTGGCAGAACTATTCATCGGCTTCTTATCGAAATGCCATGGTGATCAGTCGCATACTTCTGCAGAGCATGATCTGCTGGCCCAGTGTTCCCCATTTCTTTTAGCAGAGGCACCTTTTTTTCATTCCGTGCCCCGCCTGAAACATGCAGTAACAGCGAACGAATATGTGTGTGTGTGTGTCTGCGTGTGTGGGTGTGGGTGTGGGGAGGGGAGGCGAAAAAGGAGGGAGGCCGATAAATGGGAGGGGGGGAGGGAAGGTGCACTCTTGTTGGGCCCCAAAGAGCTCCCCCTTCGGCGCCCTGGAGGGACCCCTGGCAGAGGCCCGAAGGGGCCCCTTCCCTGCAGCCCTCGCTGCCCCCCCCCCCCACTCCCAAACCATCGCCGTCGTGATCTTTTCCCAACGCCGACCCGCAGAGGTCTGGACCCCTTCCCCGGGATCGGGTTTCTTCATCCTGCGTCGTTCTGATGACGGTCCCGAAGCCCGATAAGGGCCCGCGGAGGCCGAGCATATCCTCCTCCTCCTCCTCCTCCTCCTCCTGTTCTGTTCTGTTCTCTGTGGAGGCAGGTGTCAGTGCCACCCGCCCCTAGCAACAAACACAGCTTAGGACACGATACCTTGATCAGCCTCAGCTGGCAGAATCAAGCCAAATCGGGTGAGGAGCTGACCAGGGGTCCACTTCTCCTCCCACAGGCCATCAACAAAATCACCTGCCTCAGGCTCTGCCCCCCCCGAAAGTTGGACCCCTTTGTGCGAGGCACGGACCAGGGTGACCAAATCCAGAGGGGTGGGCGATCGGTGGCCTGTGACCGACCAACCTTTGTACTGCCTAGCCCAGCTAGGAAAGTCACCTTTGGCAAACCTCGTCCTCTGTCGCTTGAGGTCCTTAGTGGGGGGGTGGCCTGGACACTTATTGGCAAGCGAGGCCACGCCAGCCCACGCATAGCCACCGCAGCAGATGCATGACATCATCCACCCACTCCCAGCCGCCCGACTCCCGTCCCCCACGGAAACCTTTGCTTTGCAAAGGTTGTGCCCCTGGAGGCGGGACAGCAAGGCTAGTTCAGACAACTGCTCAGGGCTGCCAGGGTGCTCGGGCACTGTGTCCGAGATGATCGGCACACGAAAGTCAACTCTAGGCCACCAGGGGGCCGATAGCTGCCCTCCTCCTCCTCCCTCCTCCTCCTCCTCCTCCTCCTCCTCCTCCTCCTCCTCCTCCTCCTCCTCCCTCCTCCTCCCTCCTCCTCCTCCTCCTCCTCCTCCTCCTCCTCCTCCTCCTCCTCCTCCTCCTCCTCCTCCTCCTCCTCCTCCTCCTCCTCCTCCTCCTCCTCCTCCTCCTCCTCCTCCTCCTCCTCCTCCTCCTCCCCCGCCTCCTCCTCCTGTCGTGATTCTTTCCATTCCTCGAGGGGGCCTGGGTGGATCGCCCCCCCCCCCCCCCGCCCCCTCGTGCGACGCCCAGCTCTGGCCTCCGGCCCGCCGCCGTCCCCTGCTGCCCCCCCTACGGCGTGCAGGCGCTCTCGCATCCCGCAGGGCTCTAGGGGAGTAGAAAATCCACCCTCAGAATAATCACCCTGACACGCGAAGTCGTTTAGTAAACGCACCCAAAGAAGGAATCGAACAGGGCAGGGCTGTATAGTATACGCCCAAGGCCGCTTAGTAAACGCCACTTATCGGGTCCCGGTGACATCCCCCCTCGACGAGGAGGGGAACGACTGCAGAAACGATTTCTACCCTTAAATTCCTATTCTCGTCGAGGCCATGGGCAAAACGCGTAGGCTGGTCAGGAGATCAACGGATCAGTGTAGGTATGTTCCGTAAATTCGGCGGGAAAGGGGCCCGCGCCGCGCTCAGAGAAGGAGGAGGATGAGGAGGAGGAGGAGGAGGAGGAGGAGGAGGAGGAGAAGGCGGAGGAGGAGGAGGAGGAGGATCGTTTCTGTAGTCGATCCACTACTCGACAGGCGCGCCTCGCGGATGGTGTTGGCGTGCCACAGGTCACCGTCCACGCAGTGCCTGCGGACGCCCGCCCTGGCCGTCCTGCCCCGACCTCCCCTCGCGCCAAGTCCTCTCCTCCCGAGCTCCTCCTCCCAACAGCCGCCACCCCCGCCTCCCTCATCCTCCTCCCGACCTCCTCCCGATCTCCTCGGCCTGGGAGGAAGGCCGCCAGAATCGCTTGGGCATCATCGGCTACATGGAGTGGCTACGCCGTCAACAAGCTGAAGGACTTTTGGCACAAGAGGAAGCTCGACATTGGCGGGAGTACCAACGTATACGTGAAGAGTTTCGCAGACTACGAGGACGCCGAGGTGCAGCACGCAGAGGTGCGAGTTGGTGCCTGTCGCAGGAGCTCCAGTCTTGGGACGACAAGCTCATCATCCGCGACGCCAGGCATCGCGATGCAGAGGCAGCAGCGACGAGGATGTACGGCGACTGGGTCACCTGTCTGGAGGAGGCGGCGATCGTGACGGATGAGATCGACGAGGAGGAGGCCGAGTACTACCGAGGACGGGCTTCGGGCTTCGAGGTCAAGTGGGTCAAGGCGCGTTCGACACCAGGTCGCACCCACATGAAGTTCGGGCCAGCGGAGCAGTGGGGCATCCTCAACGCCATCCTCATTAGGTACCAGGCGCTGTACACCAACGGCACCGACGGCAGGCAGCAGGCAAAGTGCTTGGCGGAGGCAAAGGCGCAGGGCAAGGTGTTGCAGCAGATGGATCAGAACCAGGTCTTCGGCAGGAAGCTCGGCACCACACAGCAGCAGATGTTCTACGATATACTGGGCGACTTGTCGGACTTGGATGAGGGGCAGCTCGGCAACTTAGTCATGCAGGCAGAGGGCCACCTCGCCACTGCGCAGGCGCGAGGCTTTACGGCGCAGCAGAAGAACTTCACGGCGTGGGCAAAGAAGGCATGGGCAGGCAAAGTCGGCCTCCTCCATCGGCATGTGAAGGAGCAGCAGGCGCCGAGGTTCGAGCTGTGCACGGAGGAGATGGAGGGCATTGCGGACCCAGACGCCCTCCTTGGCATCAGGAAGCACGAGTGGGAGCGCATATGGACGGACCCAGTGGACACGAAGGAGGACATCGCGTACCAGCTGGGCAGGCTGCGCGATCAGTCCTGGGAGCACGCGCTGGAGCCCCTCACGCTGGAGCAGCTCGACGGGGCCATTTCTGTGTCGTCGTCGGCCAAAGCAAAAGGAGTTGATCATCTTGGTCCGCACGATCTGGCTCGGGCTCCCAGGCAGGCAAGAATATGGTTAGTTCACATCTTACAGTATTGCGAGCAGGAGGTCACATGGCCGAGGCAATGGGCAGCCACCAAGTGCGCGCTGGCGGCCAAGCCCAAAGGAGGAGATCGAGTACTCGGTATGCTGGCCCTTCCCATCAAGCTCTGGTCAAGGGCTCGGGGAGGTTGCTGCTCAGAATGGAGTGATGCGTTATCGGCCCATTGGGACACAGCCCTCAAAGGCAGCTCAGCCCTCCGTGCGGGGCTCCTCAGGGCGTGCCTGGACGAAGTGGGGGCAGAGCTCGGGGCATCGGCGATGACGCTACTGTTGGACATCGAGAAGTTCTACGACACAGTCTCGCTCGTCATCCTGTCCCAGATCGCCCTCAGAGTGGGCTTCCCCGCAGTGGTGGTGGCGTTAGAGATCACCGCGTTCGTGGGCCCCAGGTACCTGCAGGAGCGCAACATTCTCAGCGAGGCGATCTGGTCCACGAGGTCTTTGGTAGCCGGCTCTGCCAGAGGCGTGGGATTGGCGAAGCTGTTCTTGCACCCGATATTAGATAGGGCGCATCGGAGGGCGCCGCAAGCTTCGCTGTGGACATTCGTGGATGACACGGTGGCGAGGCAAGAAGGTAGCAGGCAAACAGTCGGCGATGGCATCATCCAGGTCACGGAGATCATCACGGACGGCCTCAAGGAGCAGAGGATGAAGATCTCCAGCAAGTCGGTCCTGATAGGCACCCACCCGAAGGACGTGAAGCGGACGGCTAAGACCATGAGGAAGAGGCAGATCCCCGTCTACGCAGTCACGGAGGCAGTGGACCTAGGCCTGGATTCGTCGGCTGGGAGGAAAAGGGTTACGACGAAAGCGAAGCAGCGTGCCAAGCGCGCGAAGCACAGGTTCGCCAAGATTGTGAGGCTGCGACGTACCGCGGCCTTGGCCAAAGAAAGTAAAGGTTTATGGATTGCTGGAGCAGTACCACAGGCAGTGTACGGTCACCAAGCTTTCGGGTTCGCAGTTCATGAGCTTCAACGGCTACGACGACAAGCTGGACAGGTGGCAGGAGGTAAGGCGCGTGGGCGGTGCTTGACGACGACACTGGCGGTCGAGTTGTGGAAGGGCGACCCAGGGGTGGCAATACGAGTTGCCGTAGTCAAGGAGTGGATCAACCTGTGGCAGCGCTACCCCGAGAACCACGCCAGGATCGTCAAGGCATGGCCGCGGATCTTCGACCGTCTGTCAAAGCTTGGGCCAAAACGCTGGAGAGGAGTTCGCGGACCAGTCGGAGCGGTGCAGGCGACCATCATGGACGTGGGCTGGTACGCACCAACGGCGACGGTGTGGTTGCGACCAGTCGGAGCAGATGAAGATCCAGCAGAACAGTGGGACATCCCGTCCGTTATGGACGGCACTTTCGACAACACGGGGTGCTTCCAGCAGCTGATAGACGATTTCGAGGAGGACATCGTAGCTCAATACTGGAAGGCTGCAGCAGCACACCCACATGGTGAAGGTTTGGAAGATGGAGCAGATGTTTGGCAGATCCGCGCAGAGCAGCGAAGGTTCGAGAAGCAGGGGCAGCTGGACATGGTGGGGGCCAACATCGCCGTGGTCGCGGGAGGACAGTGGCCGAAGCAGCGATCCGTCGACCAAGGCTACCTCCTGGACTGCAAGAAGTGCGACAGATGCAAGGAGGAGGACGAGACCCTGATGCATCGGATCTGGCTATGCCCAAAGAACGTGGACCACGAGGACTTCACCAAGTCGGCGCCCCTGCTGCCGGCTGCGATGGCGCAAGCAGAAGCTGAGCCTGCGCTGTGGCTTCGAGGACTGCCGCCAGCCTCTCTCACGCACCCTAGGTTTAATGATGAACTTTTAGAGGGGAGGGAGGTTCGGTTTGGTGAGCTGGGGGACTGGGAGGAGTGTCAGCACGAAGGAGAGATCCACATTTTCGGTGACGGCTCAGGAGGCAAGCACTCCTCGGACCCTCGCCGACGCCGCTGTGGATCAGCGATTGTAGCATTGCAGGAGCGCGACGGGGAGTGGATTGTGGGTCGAGCCGTAGCAGTCCCACTCCTCGGTCGCAGGCAAACGGTCCCCCGCTCTGAAATTTTAGCGTTCGGATTGGCGCTCGAAGAGTGCCACGCAGATTTTACTTTCATTACCGACCACAGGTTGATCGCGAAAACCTGGAAGTACCGCCTGGAGCACCCGAAAGCCACGGGTCCCAACGAGGACCTTTGGACCCGAGCCAGAGTTGCCTGGCAGACACACCCAGACAGAGTTGTGAAGGTAGTGTGGACGGCGTCCCATCTGGATGAGACGCCAGAGCTGCTTGAATCGCCGCAGCAGCTGTTCATGGCAGCAGGGAATTTAGCAGCTGACGTCTGGGCGGGAGTCGGGGCGGAGCTGGCTTGGGAGTTCGGGCTGGTGGGGAGGGTTCCAGAGACTGATAGGATAGACTCGATCGCACATCTCGTGCGGAAACGAGCGCGCAGATCTTTGCTACTTGCCGCTGCGTCGGAGACGTCAGAGCGCGCAGGTAGAGCCCCAGTCAGTAAGAGACTTTCAAAGCAGGAGAGACTGATTCGAGATTCTCCCCATCAGCTAGAGCGAGTAGGAAGCAAATGGAGGTGCTCTCAGTGCGATGTGATTGTGACTGGAGCCAGGTTTTTGCGTTTTTCGGTTTCCCCGTGTGCTGGGCCCCCTGGTAAAAACAGGTCGGAGGTCCCTGAGTTCCAGCCGATAAACGGAGTGGACCTCGAGATCCACGAATCCCACTCGATCACCAGGGTCGACCGTTGGTTCTTGCAGATCTGTTCGGTCTGCGGGATGTATGCGACTGTGGACTCGAGGTCCTTGCGTCAGAAGTGTAGAGGTCTCACACCGAACGGTGCCGAGAATATCCGACGAATTGAATTAGGCCTTTTTCCTCGGCGTGAGGGGCCCCCCAGAGCCATCAAGATGGCCATAGCTCGCAGAGATGAGAGTCGTGTCGTGTCGGCCCACGAGGCCAGGGGGTCGCAGGAGAACATCGAGCTTGCGGGGGGCCCCGCCGAGCCTCCCGTGGTGACCCGCGCCCGCAACGACGGGCACGAGCGGGAGCAGCTGCGTCGTGTAGCCAACGAGTTGCGCACGCAGGCAAAGGTTCAGAGATTGTTGGCAGCAGCGAGAGGTACGACTGTGCATGTGCGGGCGCCGCGGGAGGATTCAGAGTCTTCCGATTGACGGCAGATGCCCGTAAGCCAGGACGAAGACTGAGGGACAGAGGTCCGAGAGCAAAGAGGTCCAAAGAGGTCCTCCCGATCTCCTCCCGACCTCCTCCCCCTCCTCCTCCCCCTCCTCCTCCTCTTCCTCCTCCTTTTCCTCCTTGTCCTGCTCTTCCTCCTCCTCCTCCTCCTCTTCTTCCTCCTCCCTCGCCCCTGTCTTCCGCGCAATCTCCTCCTGCTGCCCCTCCTCCTCAGAAGCCATCGCGGCTCAAGGCCTCTGTCCTGGGGGTCTCCAGTCCCAAGCCAGCCTCTGGACATCGCCGGCCCGCGGCAACTCTGAAGCACTTCATGCGCAACGCTTTGCACGGGCACACCTTCCACGTACGGGGGAAATCAAAAGGTGATCTGGGTGGGATATCGATCGAGGGGTGGGCGACTAACCTTCCGACGGAGCTTGCCCATCCCCTCCCTCCTCAACCTCCTCCTCCTCCTCCTCCTCGTCTTCCTCCTCCTCCTGCTCCTGCTTCTCCTCCTCCTGCTGCTCCTCCTCCTCCTCCCCCTCCTCCTCCAACCCCCCT